CACTCCAGAAAAAAGTGATTACGTCTGAATTTAGTCATTTAAGGATAGTCACCTGCAGTCCGTCCATTACGATCGGCGAACCAGCTGCGCATGAATCGCTGACATTACGTCCGCGACGATTCAGGTAAGTCTGCATGCTGTCGTCATTGAAACAGGGGAAACCGTGGAATGCGTCGGTAGACCCATACCATGATTTGTCCTGAATTTTGAAAAAGAAATCGGGTGATGTTCCCGAATCTGGGTGATATTAGCTGGCTGAGCTGGACCTACGTCATCATGTCAATAGAATAAATTGATATGTGTATAGCTCAGAATAACCGCTGCATGGAAAGTGCTCCAACTTTGCGACAACAACGCAACTCATCCTGGCACACCCTAGTGGTTGGGTTGGGTGCAGGGTCAACCGTCCGTTGGACTTTGCCCAACGAGAGGGGGGTCGTATTCGGCAGACGAAAAAGGGGTCACAAGGTGAGGTAGCGTCAATCCTACACCAACGTGTGCTGAGAAAAAAACTGCCGTTTCACTGTTGATATATGATAGGGTTGACCCTGAGGGGGGTCGTATCGAGGCCCTTCAGAAGGGGGGAGGTCGTAAAATCTCTGAAATTTGTCCAACGTGACGGTCCACCCAACTTGGGTGATGGTCAATCGGGCGTTGGGAGTTCTTTGACAAGGGGCTCGTATTTGGAGAGATATGAGAGGAAGCAGAAATAAGATAAGTTGTGAATTCTTCTCCTAAAATATATGAAAAGATTCCGGAATTATGCGAATTTCAGTTGTATACCGCCTCCCCCCCCCCCCCCGGCGGACGCATCGCTGACGTTTTGGGGGCGAAGTTCGGGATGATGTCAAGTGGAAGCGGGTTCAGGCGCTTACTATGGGCACCATCAAGCGTTGCAAGGAGTCGTATTGAGAGCAAGAGGAGAGGAGAAGGGTTGTCTGTTCAAAATCTGTTCCGAGGTGGTGGTTGACCCTGGGATAGGCTTCCGGCTTTTTTTCGGGGCAGATATGCATCTAGTCCTTGATTGGTTAAGGAACAGTTATTCCACCTGTACATGCGAATCTTCTGCATGTTCAATGAGATATTACGCGCAATCAAAATTAAACTGATTCACGGCGATTTACGGATTTACGGATAAAACACGAAAACTTACGCCATTGTTGGTGAAAAGAGGCGGTTGTGTTTGAGCCGCGCCCGTGGTTTCAGTCAGAGCCGTTCGCCGCCGTTGTATAGCGGTTCTTCGTCTCCCCGCAGTTTTCTGAGACGAGCTTCTGCTATTGCCCGGTGTGAACGGCCATAAGTAACAATCCTGGTAGACATTGTAGGGGTCGGCACTGGAAAGAAAACAGTCTATTCATAAGCATCATAGTGAATGTCCAAATCTCATACGGCACAAATGGTTGTTCGTTTCATTTAGGTAGGATTGCTTAAAGGACGAATTCACGCTGAAAAAGGCAACCCATTTCAAATTAAGTTAGGGATGGTGAGTGGTACACGAAAGAAGGAAAAACCATGAGAAACGGCCCAGAACCCGAGAAATGGGACCCCTTCCTTGCCCGTTGATTTGAGCATTGATGCGACTCTCATCGTGCCCTCTTCAACACTACGCTCTCTCACCTATCTAATCACGAGCCAGCGAATCGACCGATGCACCAGCGAGTCGAACGATGTACCAGCGACTCGACACTGTTTGAAAGTGGCGGGACCCAACGTTTAAAGGAAGTCCACTTTAAAGGACACTGTTTGAAAGTGGCGGGCTTCCTTTAAACGTTGGGTCCCGCCACTTTCAAACAGTGTTGAGTCGCTGGTACATAGTTCGACTCGCTGGTACATCGTTCGATTCGCTGGCGCAAAGTTCGATTCGCTGGTGCAACGTTCGATTCGCTGGCGCAACGCTCGGATCCAGCGAATCGCTCGATTCGCAAACATCGGCCTTACAGAGCTAAAGGTTTATCGTGATGAAAATCAGCTTGAAACTCACATATATCTGTCGAAAGCGTCAACAATACGCTCACTGACCATAAAGCACGATGTGTTCCGTGCAGCGCTGTAGTAATCGTAATAAATAGGGTTACTTTGACCGCCGGTGCAGTCATTCGACAACGCGTTCCAGTCACTGAAAGAATGTGGGGTCATAGGTGAACTCAAAAATCTTCCACAGCAATCTGCTAGACCTACTAAATGGAGGAAAAATATGTACTTGAACTATTGAATGCATTCACTACACCTACTCGACTCCGTTGAA